CCCTTTCTGGATTCAGACCACAGCATTGATTGATCCTGTTTGCAGACACAGTGCAGCTTTGCACTGGTCGTCATCCTCACTGAGGCAGCATGATAAATTCATAGGATATTTGATTTCTCAACCATGTATGGGGACCTGCGATGCCATGAGAAGTCTTACAACTGAATATTGTGCACAGCTGGAGACTTACATACATACTTGCATGCTTCAAACATACAAAAATCCTTAGTGTAGGAATCATGAATGAATAATTACCATAACATAAAGGAAGCATGTTGCTATTGGTAACTGATATACACTCTGTACAATAGGGATCTCTGTGGAGTGGGGGGAGTTTTTAACCCTTTATGAAGCAGTCACATTTCCTTTAAACCACACATCACACGTGTGGTAACTTATCCACCATTACTACATGGACATATTTACATTAAGCAACAGGCAAAGTTGACTTCTTGCCTTTAAAAGAAATTAATGACATTTGCTAAAGGGCATTCATTTTTATAAGGTCCTATTTCACTGCATAATAAACTAATTTAATAACCTAATAATGTAAACTGTTGGCTGTATAGGGTGGTAAAGCTAGTTTACATCACTAGTTTATTCCAAAATGAATTTAATATATATATGTATATATAAAATGCTATATATTATTATAAGAGGTGTCATGGTGGTTAGCATTGTCACAACAAGAAGGTCCTGGGTAGAAAATGGACTGATGGAAGTTTCTGAAGGTGTGACATACTACATAAACAATCAGCCTCATTTTATTTATAGTGTACATATCTTCATATATGAAAAATAAGGGGCAGTTTCAACAGCATGCCACAGTTTTTCTTCATGATAAAGAAATCTGTCAGCACGACTCTTCGGACTTCCATTGTTACTGTTGACCCACTGAAATTTCTATAGTACATTTAATATATTTCTTAATTACTTGGTGTCACATGGAAGGTCATTTGTGAGTTTTCTACAAGTAAGAAAAGCTGTAAAACGTCTAAAAATACAACTATAAGTCCAAAATCTATGAAGATTGAAGCCTTTGCTGGGCCAACTCTGCTCCCCTGGGCCTTGTATTTGACATCCCTGCACTAAACTTTCAACACACTTCAAATATATGTTACAGCATGGAATGACAGGCACGCCACAGCAAGTAATACAGGCTGCAGACGACAGATTGCAATGTTTACTCTCCGATCTGCTAAACCCGGTTCATTTAGTGGAGGATCTGTTCAACCTGAATGCAATGAAGCACCGTCTCCACACACGAACATAAGTTGTTAAGTGTCGCGTTTATTCTACATGTTTAATTAGCAACAGTGACAAAACTGCAAAACACACTCCAATCATGTGACACTGCGCTTCCAACAGTGACAGTCACTATAAGCGCAACGCGTCAGGAAATCGCCTCGACAGATGGAAAATGTGCGCAAAAATGTACATAGTATGGGCATCTTAGGGAGCCTGCTACAGCTGCAGAAGTCTGTTCATGGTGAAGGCAACAGTGTTTTTGGTCATTAATAATAATCATGTCAGCAGTGCAACGAGCAACAGTTCCTGTTTGCTTCCTGGATGTTACGCTCCACCTTCTTCAACTCCGCGTGGTCCTCGTTGAACTTGCCGCATTAATCCCAGTAAGGCACGTTTCTTATCAGTCTTTAAGACACAAAGCCTGTGCCACAAAAGTCCACGGGTGATCACGCAAAATTCGTATTATAATGTGGTGGTTGGTAGCAGGTAGCAGCTGGAGTATCCCGTCTCGTCAGCGTCACAGCTGTCCGTTCCGCCTCCGCGCGTACCAGCCGAGGCAGGCACAGAAACCCACCACCGTGAGGATGGTGCACAGCAGCAGGGCCAGACCGTCCCCGGCATCGTAAGCCTCTGCCGGGGGGATCAGGGAGAAAAACAACAGCCCGACCATCAACGCGGCGCTTGGAAGTTCAAGTTTGGGAGCCATGTTTCGCTTTTTCCGCGGTTGCAGTTGACTTTCCGGAAGCTGAAGTGCCTGCGTCAAAGTCAGATGACAGATTCGGAGCGGCCGGACTTCCTGGTGCGCTCAGCCAATTGCAGAGCTGCTTAAACTTAGGCTGATGTTCCCTCCCCACTCCCTCATACCCGCGGAGATTCATGCAGTTGCACAAAAACATGATTCCAAAACTCGTTTTTTCTTTCTTCCTCTCTCTGTCAGAGAGGCAAACAGATCCCAAATTCTAAAACTCTTATAGTTATGCTGTAATTAGTGAATTTGCGACATTGTTCTCCTTATTAGTGATGACTAGGCTAACAGGTTGTCAGAAATAAAGTACCTTAGATCAATCTGAGGCTTGTTATTGTTCCTGAAGACAAGACACAAGCACATTGGATATCCATGCATGCTGATCATGGGAAAAACAAAACAATCCCACTGGAATCACATACAGAGAATTTAAACTTTCCTCATCCATTTTCACTTTTTCACTCTGGGCTTCAAAAAATATTCCACACTTATCTCCAAGTCCAGCCTGGCTGCTTGATTTGCCTCACTACTCCCCCGATCTCCCTGAACATGTGAAATTGCTTCATATCGGCCGCGTTGCGGTGAGTAAACGAGCCAGCATCTCAGCTCATGCTACAAATTGTTTGGCTTGTAAGAACCGTTGGAGGGGGGTTACAGGGTCCATAACCGCCTGTGTGTGCTCTCCCGAGGCACTCTGCCTGTAATTTAATTAGCGCACAGGAGCCAAAGTAAAATATTGACCTTGTAAGGCTGCCATACCTCTGTACCTGCTGGTATCTGAGTGAAGAGATGAATGGGCACAAGTTCCCCTCGGTGCACTCTTCTTGCTTTCACATTGCACGCTCTCTCACCTGCTCCTGCTGTCTGTTTGGCAGTCTTGTTTCGCACACACGCATACAAACTTTGTGAGTCCTGTCTGATCTCTGCCGCTGCCTTCAGCAGTCCACACGGCAATTAAAAGTTACAGATTCACATCGGAATCTGCTGTTTGTTTGCTCATTCCTCTAACACATATGATCTATGTTGAGTAGACGCAGTTCTTTCCCCTGGAGTCCACTGATAATTGATCGCTAGGAGGGTTACAAAATATCCAGGAATTAGTGTTCAACTAACGAGCTACAACAAAATCTCCCTTGTATGGTTTGCATTGCAACACACTGGCCAGAAACAGGAGGCCCCTGAAGTCTTTTTTTGTTTTCTTTTGTACAGCACTTTGTGATCAATATCTTGAAAGGTGCTATATAAATAAAGTTTCACTTACTTACTTAAATATTGCAATATTTAAAAAGCATGGATAAGATAGATGTCTCGATCTAGTTCAGTGCACACAGCCACAATCAGTTATAATCTGTTGACTTGACAGTAGTCCAGATCACAATAGCCAAACTTTTCAGCAATCACATCCTGTGGAAGACACAGGATGTGATTGCTGAAAAGTTTGGCCTTGTGCAGAGTGTTGTACCTAAGAATATTAATGAAAATGTGACTGGAAGGGAAAAGTGTGGCAGGAAAAGGTGCACACGCATCAGGGATTTGGCACAGCCTTGAGAAAAGTTGATTCAAAAACTTGGGGGAGCTTCACAAAGTAGGGAAGACATGCATCTTTGGGAAAGGGGCTACAGCTGTTGCATTCCTAATCAAACCACCCCGAACCAGCGACGACATCAGAAAGTAAATGACATAAAAGTAAACACTGCAATTTGAAAATCTGGAGGAAGAGAGGAGAGACACAGAATCCAAGGGTTTTGAGGTCCAGTGTGAAGTTCCTGCAGTCTATGCTGATTTAGGTCACCTTGTCATCTGCTGGTGTTGGTGGCGGTTTGTCCACTGTGGTTTATCAAGTCCAGACTTCGTGCAGCTTTCTACCAGGAGATTGAATTTTTTTTGAAATTTGAATTGAAATTTTTATTTCAGTCAACAACAACAACAACAACAGATTATAATTTTTACATAAAAGTACTCAAACAGTAACCGAAAAAGGAATAGGCTGAAGCCTTATGGCTTATACTTATCCTATCCCTTACCCCCATAGAAATAATCAAATCCTTAACCAAGAAAATAAATAGCATTGATAAATAAGTTGTATAACAGTTTAAAAAGAAATCAATGATAAATCAAGAAATTAAATCAACACAAAAAAATTTTAACAAACCAAATTTCTATAACCTTGTATAATACTAATTTTTAAAATCTTCCTGAAGAATGACAAAGAAAAACACATCTTTAGTTCATCATTAAGTCCATTCCATAATTTCACTCCCAAAACTGACACACATCTATACTTAACATTGGTTCTCACTTTAGGCATTTCAAACTTATAAGACCCCCTCAAATCATATTTTCCATCTCTTAGTTGAAACATACTTAAAATACAAATTGGAACATTCTTTTTAATCACACGATATATAATTTCTAAAGTTTTAGAATATATAATGTCCATGAATTTTAACATAGATGATCCTACAAAAAACTGGTTGGTGGACTCTGTATATCCAACTTTATTTATTATTCTAATAGCTCTTTTTTGCAATTTAAATATTGAATCCAAATATGTTTTGTATGTGTTCCCCCTCTTTGTATGAGATTGCAGAGCACTTTGTACTGCTATTGGCTGACACGCTTTATGGAGATGTTAATTTCCTTTTCCAGCTGGGCTTCCTTCCCACATTACCAACACTACCACCTCATCATCTTATCTTATTGATTGGCCAGCCAACTTGTCTGATGTTAATTCCACTGGAAATCTATAAACTGCTGTAAAGAGGAAGAAACACTCAACCCAAAAATGTGGACGGGCTAAAAGCTGCTGTGCTACAAGCTAATCACCTCCATACCACACTCCAGTGATGATGAACATGATTTCCAGAAGTTGGACGTTTCTGTGTTGTAAATCCTTCTTCACTGATCTCGGGACTTTGCATGTAATAACTATAGAATGTATGAGTTTTGAATACAGTCAGAAAAAACTTTTATAACAATGCTGTTGATTTTGTGTCTTGTATCAACATAGGCGGGCCAATGCAGTGCTGGTCAGCTTTCGTGGTGCTGATTGCAACACATTTTAATCCTGCAACTTTAGTTATTGAACTTCTAGTTATTCTTGGTCTTACTATTGTTATTATTGGTCTTAGACTACGTCCACATGTACACGGATATTTTTGAAAACGCAGCTTTTTTATGTGTTTGGGCCTTTCGTCCACACAGAAGACGGCTTTTTGGATCACTAATAAACTGAGATTTTCAAAAACTCAGTTTTTGCGTTTACGTGTGGAGGAGGTAAAGGAGATTTAGTCACGCAATGTTAAAGGTGTGTGCCTGTTTTGAGGTCATGCTGTGCTGATGTTACCGTTTGCATGAGAGGAATTTCTACAATGGCGGACATAGACAAAATACTTGTGCTGTTAATCTTACTATTTGCAGTTTTTACACGCTCACGTATACACACACAGTTACTGTCCCTTCATTCATTCAGAAAGAGGCGTCCGACTGAACTTTGGATGTGACTTCTACATTCAGCGCAGACACTAACAACCCAAATCCCGATGCAAATATCGTCATCGGTTTTGAATAAATGTAATTTTTTCAAATTAAATTTATGCATGCAGTATGCATTTTCTCCATTCCTAGGTTGTGAGTCTACATCAGCCATCACAGTGCTATGACTTATGATTATGAATCACTCAGACTAATGTAAAATTTTAATTTTTTTTAATTGAATAAACTCTGGCCAAGGGAGCCAGTGAGACAAAAATCCAAAATACTGTCTTTAGTTATTAGCACTTGAAATGATGAAGGCACTTGAAAAATAACACAAAATTAGCTGCCTTTCCCGAAAAACACAAAAAACTTTTGAGAAGTACTTCAGGTTTTGTGAGTGTACAAAACCCAGTTTATGCTTTCAAAATCCAAAATACGGTCTTTCATTATTAACATTTGAAAAGGATGAAGTAAACAGGCTTCTAGACTTCTGATTGGCCAACATTTCTACACGGTTAGGATGTGGCATGTTCTTGACAGCATTTGACTCTGTTTTTTGCATTTACACGTGGACAGAGATATTTTTTTGAAACTTGACATGTGGACAGGATTTTTTTTTTTTTTAACAAAAACTGGAAAACTCAGTTTTCAAAAATTCCCGTGTACGTCTGGATGTAGCCTTAAAGTGATGATTGTCACAACAGCTTATGCTGCTTAAAAAGCTGAAGAGAATTGATTTTTATCAATTCATTAATTGATTGATTAATTTTTATTTTCTAATACACTTTGATATTTTATATTTATAACATTTAGGCTACTTATTTATAACCCCTTTGTCTGTTTTGTTTATGGCGAGACATTCTAGCTCTGAGGACACGTCTGCTATAACACAAGAAATCAGGCTCACTGTAGTTTATAGTGTTCAGGCTTTATTGTCTTATTTTCATTGAAACTTGTAAACTATCTGAAAGTTCAAGGATTTAGAAATGACAACCCTCAAAAATATGATGGATTTGAACAACTCAGAGGTTTTTAAAGGAGATGAACTTGCAGCTATTGTCCCTTTGTTTAAAATGTGGTCGCGCCTCTATTTCACATAATAAAAACTCCTGATGCAAGAAAAAAAAGGCAGGAAAGTGTCAGAGATCAACTGATGGCAAAACTGAAGGTTTGTAGGACAGCAGGACACGGGACTCTAGATGCATTAGTGGAAACTGGATCAAGTGTTCTCGTTTAGGAAAGAAAACAAGGCCATGGTTTTAGGTGAGCCCAGCACAGCAGCAGTTCAATTATCTCTGACAAAACAGCAATATTTAATGTCGTGGGAATAATCACGACAATAATCACAACAAGCAGTTCATGCCTGCTTGACCACGAGCTTATTCTTAGGAGAGAAAAGCTAGTTAACACAGGTTACAAATATTAGAAATTAGTCCCTCTAGAATTTTGTTTGAATTTTTCAAAAATTGATATATAAGCAGCTCTCGCTCAGTGCTGCATTTACAAGCTAAGCTTGTGTGTATCTTTGCAGACTTTGTTATTAGCAACCTTTCACAAAAGCAC